TATTTGAAGTAATTGTTTTTAGCCCCGATACGGAGTCTTACATTCAGAAGATGGAAAAAGAACGTCAAGCGAGACAGCACGGGGCGCAACAAGACAACAGATCTTGGTTTCAGAAATATGTAATATTTTTCAAATTGCCTAGTATAAGTCTGATTACTGACATTTAAATTTCTCCAATATTTAATTGATTAGTATTTTAGTGGATGTATATAGCCGCAGCTTTCATTTTTATGGTCATTATGAACGCCACTGCTGGTGATCAAGGCGACCAGTGAAAATACTAAACAGTCATTTGATCTTTTACGTAAACGGGTTTCGTAAATGTTTTCTGATTGTGTTTGATTTTTTTTTCAGGTTTTTTTGTTTTTTGTTTTTGGTTATCTTGTTCAATGCACTGCCACGCATTTACTATTGTTTTCATTTACTTCGGTTTGGCTTGTATGTCGTATTTTTTGCTGGTAAAATTTGTTCCATCTGTTTGTACATCACTTGATTGCATTACAATTAATTATTCATGCCCTAGCACTTATGACGTGTATATCTTCCTCTTTCATCTTCTTGTTTTTTGATGTATATGTATCATCTTTTTAGTTTTTTGAACAGTAGGATATTAGGATATAGTTTATGGTGTACACTTAGATGATCTATTATTGATTGAGGTTTTGGGGAAAGTTTCAAAAGGCTCATCACATTTATTCGAGCACACTTTTTGTTCTCCATTTCGGAAAACCCACTTCATTTTTGATATTCCTATTCCTGTCATTTCTGGAAGCGTTGGGTTTAGTTCTCCGATGACCTAAGGCGTTAATTACAATTGTTGTTTAGATGGAAGTGTAGTGATTTGAAAAGTGAACTTTGGTTTTTCTGCTGAAATAGTTTAGTTTCTTGTTGTATTTTTTATGAGTTAAACGACAGTCAGTTGTGGCTATGTTTGACATTTAAAATAAATCACATCACTGTTAAACAGTGAAACAAAAAGTGGTGGTTGTTGTTTTTGTATACGGGCTTTACAATATTCCTAACGTACTTGAAACACTGTAAAAAGTGAGCTGTACGAATGTGAGTTTTTGAAAGGTGGCTACCAGCAGGTTCTTTTGACGTATGATGCATGACCCATTGCGTTGAGAATGGTGGGAATTTATATGATTTGTTTTATTCTTTTTGACTTGTGGTCATTTTCAAGGATTTTTGAGCAGCTTATTGAGGCTGTGGAGGGTCAAATACTCCTTCGACGATGATACGGCAACTTAACACAGTTGCAACTGGACCTGCGCAACAGTCGGCTGCGACGTCTTCGCACCTCTTGGAAATGAATAATGGGAACACTGCAGCTAAAGTAATGTTCGATTTTATAAGTAGGCTGTGCGTGAAGACCACAAAAGTTGCATTTTTCGATATTTTTTTCTTAGGACCTCGTTGATATTGCTACTGAATTGTATGTAGTGTAGTTGTCTTTAGGTGGCGGAAGTTTTTCTGACTGCTGGTCATGCTTTTCAAAAGTTGGGCGACCTGACATTGCAGCTGTATTCGACTCCCTCAGACAATGATGAAAGGTTATTTTTATTCTAATTTGATACATGTATCATGAGGTTTTGATGAGTGCCTTAATCAGGCCTGTTTTAGTAGGTGGTCGGAAAAAGATGTCGATCGGTTACGGGATGCATTAACTCGTTTTGCTCATGAACTTGATAATATTAGTGTTTCAGTGCAAAGTAGAATCACGTACGTTTTCCATCGTGAAAAATTTTATATTTTTTCAAGCTTGATTTGTTTTCCTTGGAAGGGGGGCAGCAGTTGATTGATCCTTTAAAACTGTATTTAGGAAATTGATAAAAACGGATATGAAAAGAAGAATTGTTAATGGGGATGATTTACGGTCATCATCCCCTACCACCGGTATTCCTCCAGCGAAACGAACGGCTAGTGTTGGGCAAATGTTAAGCGCACAGAACGTAACCACAGCAAAGCGTGCTGTTAGTCTTTTGCCAGGAGGAAGTGGGATATCAGCTGTGAGTTCAAACGCTTCAGTACAACCAGCACCGTCACCCTCACAGTTTGGTACAATATCTGGTACGGCAGTGCCAGCAATTGCAGCACGTGGCATAGCATTCACCACCTCTAGACCTAGATTTACTCCAACTACAACTCCTTCAGTTGGCGCTACAGTTACACTGCAGTCTACTTCACAAGCAGGTAGGACTACAAAAACTCTGCTAGTTCCGGCTGAACCAACACATTTCGTGCCAGCCAATCCATCTTGATTTTTTGCACAGCGATGTCACTGTTATACACTTGTTGAATCAGATGAGTCATTCAAAAGGACTTTTTTTTTTTGTTCAAGGCTTAGCTGTCTCCCTTAGAATAAAGGAGAGGAATTTCATCCTATAGCAGCATCCCTTTTAATACGAATGTTGTTTACGGTGGAGCCGTAGCTGTGGACAAACTATACTCACTAGTTAGTTGTTCAAGCCCTCACTTTGTTAGATCTACTAGTCGGCGAGATAAACAGATGTTATCGTTCTTCCTGTAGGAGGGTAGTGAACAAGTTGTTGTTTAGTCAGTTATGGGTTCTTTCTTTGTTACGATTGTTGAACTTTTGCTAGTCCTCGCGTTCTTCTTTATGTACAAAAGATTTTAGAGAGATGTTTTTAAATTGTTAAAGAAGGTGAAAATTCAAAAGTGCACTTGTAATGTTCTTTAACCTGTAAATTACTTTCATGTTCCACATCAGTTAAAGATTGTTTATCCACAAATTCTTGATTCAAATTTGTACAACACATCATAGGAGTCACATTTCCGCCTCACCTATTTGTAGCGAAGACAGCTAGAAGAGTAAGCGTGTTCCGCTGTCACAAAGATGATGACACTTCACGGCTTCGGGAACTTTCGACCTGCGAAGACTAATGCGTTTTTGAGTTACGAGGCAGGATAAATTTAAACAGTTTGAGTAGTCCATAACAACTCCGTGAGCACCTAGAAGTTTAGATATTGTGACTTGCTGTTGGAAGGAACTCTAAGATGCATTCAAGTTTTCAAGTACGGAACTTTACCTAAACACTCTTCACAGGCATTATTTATTTGCGACTTAAGCTCCTGTTCGCTATAAAAATCACACAGGGCAGTATACAATGTTTCTGATTTGTCTATACACTTGGGACACCAGTTGCGCACCCCCACTGCTTTGCAGCTGAAAATGGATATTTACTTCTTAGAAGAGAACACTAATTAAAAAAAATTCTTTTTAATTCAAAAGTTCTTAAGGTAAATTGCCAAGGAATTTAATGGGCAAGCTGCTAAGGGATTTATCGCGTCAAAAGAATGTAGAGGCAGACAGCACGAAGAAATGCCTCTGTTTGTACCCGTAACAGTCGCCAGTTGCAGGGCGGTGCCAAGTAAATTTAAGTGGCACAGTCTCAAGAGCCCGATGAAGAGATGGTAGAACGTGTCGATGTACATAATATTCATAATTAATATGTAGGGAGCTGTCAGAAGCGAATTCCCAAGGTTCTCGGACACAAGAAATTAAAGTTGCGCTTGGCGGACCCGCTACAATGAGGTACGGAACTCGCTCTCCAGCTTCTGGCTCGTCTCTAAGATTTACAGCGCGTCTTCTTCTAAAAAGTTTCCCCGTTTAATCACCTTGTAAACCTCTTACATGAATTATACTGTATTACAAAATAAACAGGACTTTAGGAGGAAATCTAGAAGAAATGTGTGTACTCTGCAATTTTCTTCGCTGGTACTACAGCACTTTCAGCATAATGCTTCCTGTATTCCTTGCTAAATATGAAATCCGTTAATGGTAGCTTCTCCAAGTTTGAGAGCTGGAGGTCTAAATATCGTACCAAGGCAGGAACATCATTGCGAAAAACAATGCGCAAAGCTTTTTCCAGAACCTGAAAGTCTTCAACATGTATCTTTACCATCAGAACCTATTTTGACAAATGTTTTCACAATAATGGATAAGGACATGCTTAAAGTATTACCTTGGCTACTAAAGGACAACCATCCCGTCTAACAGTTTCGATTCCTTTCGCGTCAAAAACACCTTCGCCATCAGTCTTTTCGTAACTCATACCGACATATCGTTTTTTACTTTCCAAAATAAGAGGGTGCATGACTTTCTCTAATTTTAACTTCATGGGGTTTGGATTTGTCGCCGTAACGTCGTCTGCAATGCGTTCTCCAATCTCAAACGCTTCGGCACGAGATGAACCTGAAAAATCAGCGAAACTCTAACTTACTGACCAGATGTTATGGTGAAGAAAGCGGTCGAAGAGCGATGAAGGGTCTAGTCACTCCAAACAGAGCCCTAGTGAAAAATGGTGGCAAACCTGGACATAAGACAAAAAGACTATCTGTGTCACCGTATATAACCCTTGCTTTACCGTATTTCCCGGAATTCACCATTACTATGGCACTCTCCAGTGCTTCTCTTCCCTGAAAAGAAAAAAGAAAAAACTGAAGACAAAAAAGTAGCCGTCCTCAAATAAATTTCCATTTTTCCAACAAAGTAATTTCTTAGAAACAGCAGTTGAAAAAACTCATTCATTTAAAAAGTAGACTCCCTACTTTGCTCAATATCGCATCAGCAACTTCTACACAAGGCATGCGCCCGCTCCAGTTCGCAGCTGAATACCCATATGTGACATTTGCGATATTTTTCAACGCCAATTGCCGAGCATCCAATATTCTTCCTAGTCTCTGAATTCTCGTTAATTAACGTATTAAAAGTAGAGGATACAAACACAGAGCTGGTTTCATAAATCAAAAATATAAAAGAGACTAACAATTCGTAGAGAATGCACAGATCTTACCGGGTTTTCCTTGTAATCTTTGATCGCTTTCTTTACCATTATTCTAGTGCTTAAGATTTCTTCAAGCATCATTGGTACCACACCTAAAAGAAAAAGGAAAACTGTTTTTTCTCAAGAAAAAATTCAAGGACCTCAGTTCAGCATGAGTTATCGCCAATACAGAACAATTGCCTTTCCTACAAAAGATCAACAGTTGAGTGCTGGTTTGCAGAATGATTACAACTTACTCTACTGCTATGAAAAAAAAGTGAATCTGAAGACAACTGACAAGATTAGTAGAAAATCAAATATCTTACGGAAGGCGAGAAAGATGGTACGGTGCTGATTCCAGTAAAAAACGAACCTTTGCGAACTGCTTTCTTGCAAAAAACACCACCCACTGGTGAAATGTGTATCTGATCACTTCTAATCATTTCTATTAACTGTGAAACCTGAAGAATTCAGTGTTCAGTGTATTCACAAGTATTTCTCATTTAGAAATCATATTTTGAGTTTTATTTAGAAAGCAATTTAAACACTCACCGGTAGAGTGTACCGCAGTGCTCCAATCTGCATGCTATCCAAGTTCCCATTTTCGGACACCTCTCGAATGTTGGTAACTCGCCCAAGACATGTAGAGAAACAGTAATTGTATGCAATCATGACAGAAGGATAAAGTGACTGGAAATCAAGAACGATTACAGGATCACGATAAAGGCCAGATTCCGGCTCCATATTTAATGCAAGAGTTTCTGGTGAAGGCATCCTACAACAAACTTATGTTTTGCAACCGAAGTTAGTAAAAATATGAAAATACGCAGTACATGAATTTCAGCTATAACAGAGGTGAGTAATATGTTGCAAAGATGCAAAACGGTGAGCAGAACTGCCTCATAGACAGTACACAAATTTAAGAGCTTTTTCTGGATCCTTACGCATTTCTCTGGGCAGGGCTAACTGATGCAGCAGCAAGACTGTTCTGACGGGCTAGTCGAAGTAACATAGACTCAACACGAAATTGCGAACCTCGTGACAAAACTTCGCTAAACTGCAAAATAATTTCAGTAGGAAATCTCGCCTAAGTTAGTCGGGTGGCAAATCTGTTTTATTCAACTTCTTCAAACATTGATAAGTGGTGGTTAGGCATAACTTCCAAATGCATCTGTCCAGTCCTGCCTAACAGTAACCAGTTTTATCAATTACTGAGGTATTTATTTGTCATGCTTTAAAAGCATGTAAATATAACAAGCGTTCAGAAAGACTAAGAAACTCCAGCGTTTTAAATAAATCGAAAAACAGCCAGCTTCTTTTAAACTAATTTTATAAACAGAAGTGATTTTTCGCTTCCATACGGCGTAAACCCAAAATGGTTCAAATTGCAGAAAACTGCTTCTACTACAAAAATAGTTAGAGAAAAAAGCTAAAATTCCAAAAATTTCCCGCACACTTTTAACATACCTGCCAGTCGAATGACTCACTAAACTTCCTGCTCTTTAATGTTAATCGAACGACTATTTCACTAAGTTTAAAAAGCTTATTTTGCGCTGCAGTTGCAAACAGCTGTACTCTACTTGTCTTACTGACTTTGAACTTAGCTCACGAGAAAGTAAAAATATTAGAAAGAAATGAAAAATAGCTCAGTTACTTGTATCCCATACACTCGAGCCATTTCTGCTACCCGTGTAAAGAAATCAAGTTGACACAAAACTCGAAGGCTCAATCGCACTGATAACATCATGTGCCGAACTGCAGTCCTTCTACAAATAGATGAAATTCACAAAACGAGGAACATTTGAGGTCAAAATTCTTGCAACTAGTACATTCAATTTACAAAAGTTAAGTCCTCAGCAAACTGCAAATTCCAAAAAAATGATGTTTCAAGCTCCTTCATATTTTCTTAGTTACCAAGCTTGACCACTAAAGCAGATAGACCTGCCTAGAAAAACGGCCTTTAAGCCATCCTACACCCTACTCAATTGTCGTCCCCTAGGATTCAATGCATAAGCACCCTTTTCAAAAACGTATAACTTTTTAATCAACATAAAGGATTGGTAAATTTGAAATTCTATGAGTTTATGTCCTTTAACTTCAGAGTACTGTCTTCGTAATACAAAATTCAGATAAAGGTTTAAGCTTATGATGATATAACTTTACACATATAATTACAGGCATTTTTTACAATTAATCTGCAAAAATTTCTTTTTTAAAATTTCAGTTTTTCTGTAAACACTATTGTGTGCTTACTTTTCTATAATTAGAAGACACGAGTTTTTTTGTAAATCCAAATTTACCTAGTATTATCATGCATTTTACACTCAAATAAGAAAATGAAGACTCTAAAAAGTGCTCTGAATATACAGAAAATTGCAGAAATCTTATGATTTGACAAGAGGTAACGCGACAAATAAGTCGATCTTTTAAGCGATCCTTTCGCTCTCCTAAATTAGATATCTATGCTTAACAAATACTTACGCTTGAGAAAATTTTAAAGCATTAAATTCCAACAATGTTCAGTTTAACAGGAAATGATCCTTTGCACATTCCAGTAACGACTACTATTCAGGCCAGAATAAAGTAAGAAATTATGAATTGAATGAGAAAAGAAATTTACAAGCTTTGAGATGAAAACATAACTCACACAAGGAATTTTTGTTGCGAGGTGAGCCATTCACCTAAAAGAGCAAGCGAATATTCAGGAAACCGTCTACCCAGAACATTCTGCACTATATTTGAAAGTGTGTATGACCTAATAACAAAATATATTGTAAAAAAATATTTAACTTCCTGCAAATTTTTTTTAAAATATAAAAAACTACTAAAAGTTGAAAAATATAAATTAAATGAAGGAGAAATATTGTGCTCTATTTAAACACGCCCTTATAATTTGAGTGGCGAAATTATACACATTTAGCATAAGTGACACTTCCGTTGAAAACTTTTAAGTCATTATTCATAAGTTTCTGGCAGAATCAAGCTGTTTTAACAATTTGAGACAGCAGATGTGTCAATAAGAAACGTACCAAGAAAAGAAATAGTGGTTCTGTGCGAACATCATCAGTATTCTAGCTTTCTTATAACATCTTTAATCTTT